ACAATACACAATAAAGAACACACTTCCAAAACACCCTAAAATCACTTGTAACCACTTAGATCTTTTATGTTTTGAAGTGTTTTACCATATTTGAGCAACATAACTCCTTCCCCTACACCAACATCATTTCGTCCAGCACCCAAAGAAGAGGAGAAACAAGATTTCCAACCATACAAAGCAAGAAAACAAGGCAAGGAACAACTTAGAACCAAAAACTAACCTTGAATCTTACTTGTGTGCTCCAAGATGCTATCTTTCTCCTTAGCTCTTCCTTGGTTCCACTTGAAACACTCTCTTTTCTCTCTTGGCTATGACTTGCACGAAATGGAGGTCTGATTTTAGGGGAGGAAGTGCTCATTTAATGCTTCAAAATATCTCAACCACCACCATTAATGCTAATCCAAGTGTCACTACCCCCTTGGTTCCTTCTTTCTCTTTCTTAATTAACTAAATCCAAATAAAATTAATTACCAAAAGTCAAAATCCTCTCCATTTAGAAAATGACACTTGGTAATTTCAAATCCTCTCCATTAAGGGTTTGACACTTGGCTCAATGAGGATCATTCAAAATGCAAAGCTCTTTATCGGTGCACTTTGACTCCGAGTTTGAATCCTTTTCTATAATTATAGTATTCTAACCTCTGTAATTATTTTCTATCAGAGCCCTATTTTACTCTCCTCATTTTTATCTTTCTAAATTGCCCTCTTTTGTCTCGAAATTAATTTCCCCATAATTAGCATAAAAGGAAAAATAAATTTTCTTTTCTTACGGATTTTTCTACTTTTCAAAGAAATTAGGGAAAATCTTGGGTACTTGAGGGTTTTCTTTTAATTCCATAATTTCTTATAATTCCTTGAAATATCATAGGAATTTTCTTGAACCTTTATTCTCCTTAAAATATTTATTTGGAATTTTCCAAATAAAAGCCCTTAAATTAGGCTAAATCACCCTTAAATTCCTTTGTAATTTCTCTAAGGGTAATTTGACCTTAAAACTAATTTTATAATCGCATATGATTCTCAAAGGATATTATCCTTATTTTTTCCTCAATTTCTATGACTTGGAATATTTTTTCCATAATTATTCTTGACCAATTTTCCTTAATTAGTCAAACTTTTCATAATTGGCTTGGAAAATCATAATAATTATTTTCCACCAAAATCCTTCTATTTCTCCTTATTATTTTTGACCCTCAACTATTTAGGAATATTCCTTATTTTGAATTACCATAATACTGGATGTGACATATGATGCCCTATTGCGTTACCAATAGGTGTTGCATCAAAAGATAAAAAGAATGGCCTAAAAGGAAGAGCTTGAAGGAAAAGGAAGAGTTTAAAAGAGGTAGCTAGCATTTACTATTTAAACATTACCTTGCATTGTATTTATTGCTATATGTTATGCAATGAATTCCCAAAATACATAGGGTACCACAATACATATGTTGTGTCAACTACCACATGGGAATATAGATCAAACACGTGGTTCCACATCACCTTATTTAGTCAAACGCTGTCTCAGCAACGGTCAAACATTAAAGCGAAATGACACTATCATAATTGGCCTCCTTTTAAGCTTGATTGATAGATTTGAGCCATCAAAAAATCCGTGGTGTCATGTGAACTTTTAGTATAAGTTCATAGGTATTTTTTACTTTAATCCTTAAGGAAAAAAAAAAGACTCGTGGGCTAGCCCATGATGCCACAGGTTGAATACGGTGTGAGATTGTGGGTTGAAGTAAACTGCAACTTAGCGAGTCGACAAAATGCCAAGCTGTTTTACAGGCTGGGCCTGCAACTCTAGCTCCCGCTAATCTAGGTCATGCCAAGAATCACCAGATATTTTTTATGAGGATTAAAATCTGTCCCATCAAAATTTAATTTAAATGATCCAAGTTTAGTTTTTTTCCCTTCACATTTCTTTTGAAAAAAAAATTATTTTGATGTGTACAAAATATAGTATAAAAATAATCTTCTAACTATTATTTTTTAAAAGATAATTTTCTTCATTTAAAAATAATTAGTTAAAAAATTTAAATCTATATCATTGAAAATCTATTTAAATTGTGCTAATTTCACTTTAACGATGAGTATCGAAATTGGTTTCAAAATCACCTAATGATCACTAAGCTCTCTTAACAAACATTTAATGCAAAAACATAACTAAGATTTGAACTCGAGATCAATAATTAAGTTAGTACTCCTTTTGTCCCTTTTTGTAAGCAACATAAGACTCCATTACATAGATAAAAAAGTTAGTTAAAGATAATAAATATGTAAAATTTAAAATTTCTTTCTCCAAAATACCCTTATTTATGAGGGAGAGAGGGCATAAAAAAGAAAAAAAGAAAATTATTATAATAAAAAGAATTATGAAAGAAAGAGAATGTGTAATAGAAAGATGATAGTTTGAGACATATGATAATAAATATGTTGAATATTAAAATAAGTAATTAATGGGATTAAAATAAAAAATTTACCACAAAAATTTAAAACAACTTGCAAATGTTGCTTATATTTAGGGAAAAGAGAGGGATGATAGTTGTTGTTTATAAAAAGGGACGGAGGGAGTATCATTCTTTACTGGCTAACCTACGTGGTCATTGATCACAACTCGATTTAAACTTTCATTATAAATGTACAGGATCTGCTCTATTTATCATGGAAAAAAAAACAGACCGGACCGATCGGTTCAACTAGTGAACCGGTGAACCGGCCTGCTGTCCAGTTAGGGTTAAGGCAAGAACCGGCCTGCACTTAAACCGGTGGTAAACTAGTTGAGCCGGTAAGAACCGGTGCTAAACCAGGTAAACTGCCAGTTTACCCGGTTTTTTTATTTGCCCCATCCAAACCACAAAAACGATGACGTTTAAAAAAAAAACCGAATCCATTCCAAACCAAAACTCAACCCCTTAGCTCGACCTCGACGGCTCGACCCCCCAGTCTCCTTCCTCATTCGGTCTCCTTCCTCAGTCCCAAGCTCACTGAATCTTGTCACTCTTGAGGCCATCTGTGTCTCTGCCATTAGAAGAGCAAGAGGTGATAACTGAAAATCCAGAGAATCCTGCAAAAGAGAGGGGCAATAATTGAGGAGGGAAAAGATAGTTGGAGGAGACGGAGAGTAGAGAATGAAGAAGATACCATGAGGTGTTGAGGAGGTGGTGGGAGGGTTGAAATAAGAAGGATAGAGGTGGCGGTGGGGGGGAAGTGGAAAGAGGAAGAAGAGCAAAATGAGGAGCCATTGAGGAGGAGGACAGAGAGGTGAGCGAAGTGAGAAAGTAATCCAAGGAAGTGAAGGGACGATAGGCAATTATTTTATTATTAAAAGAAGGAATGCACAGCCTGTAATTTCAGAGTAAGCACAGTAGTTCAAGTCTTCCAAGTCTTTCTTTTGGGTTGGTTGCTTTTTGACTTTGGTACTTGATGGAGGGATTGAGGGGTAAGCCGTAAGCAAATGGAGATTTAAAAAAAAGAAAAGATAACTGTAGAGCAATGATTTAGAGGTGGCCTACACAAAAGGTAAAAGAGAGTTTCCAAAAAAAAAAAGAGTGAAAAAAATTTTTAGATGGAGTTTGGAATTGAGCCACTTAATGAAATTTTTATCAAGGACAGGTTACTAAAATTAAATATTCAAACTATTTTTATGGTTTTTTGGTATTTTGTTGACTGGTTATTATTTATGAACATTATTTTATTTTGTTATTGTTAATTAAATTATATTATTTTAATATAACCGGTCCAACCCCGATCCGATCCCGGTCAGACCATTAATCCTTAACCCACTATCTTGACCGGTTTATTGTTCGGTCTGGTTTTTTTTGTTCCTTGCTATTTATGCTCAAATGTACGATAAAGAGTATTTATTTTCAAACTATAAAAGGTACATATACATATGATGCAACTGCAGATACGCACCGCGCATAGAATAACCAAGAATAATCCATAACGGTTAGAGACTTTGCAGTTCAGATATAGGCTTTGAAACGCCAAATTGGCAATACATCCATGCTTTAAAAACGAATGGAGAAACAACAGAGAAATTTAGACATCAATTGCACATAACATTGTAAATCCAAGGAAGGCATACACAACCGCAACTAATCACTGAAATATAATAACGAGACAATTAATTGTGTAATAAACACAAGGCTAGTGTACAACAAAAGGAGACTTTTCGATATCTTAAGCCACCTATGCTGAAAAAATTAAACATTTTACAGCCTTGAATTAATATTCAAGGGAAAATCCCTGGAGAAAAAAAAAAAAGTCCGAATATATGAATTTTGATTCAAAGAGCTAACAGTTAAAAAGAACAGAGAAGAAAGTAAAGATTGAACAAACATTTTGAAAGTGTTGTAAAATTACCCATATGCCCTTTTGTGTAAAAAAAAAAAAAAGAAGTTATTAAACAAGTCATTTTCAATATAATATTTGTCATTGCCAATCCAACACTTTTTGTTTCCAATTCATAACTTCTTAATTGACTAACTAAGATGATGAACAAAAAACAAAACAAGTTATGAAACTTGTAATTTCCAATTCAATACTTATCATTGTCAGTTCAACACTTGTCAATTTTAGTTCACAACTTATTAATTAACTAATTAAAATAATAAAAAACCCAAAAAAAAAAAAATTATCAAACTTGTCATTTCCAATTCAACACTTGTTATTTCCAGTTTAACAATTGTCATTTCCGATTCTATTAATGGCATTTGTGTTATAGAAGGGCAAGTGGGTAATTTCATAATATTTTCAAAATGTTAGTTCACGCCTCCCTTCTGTATTATTTTCAAGTGTTAGCTACTTGAATTAGAATTTGATATATTCAAACTTTCTTTTGAGGGATTTTCCCTTAATTTAGAGAGGGCAACAAAGTCACGTGTCCGTTTGTAAGGCCTACTCTCCCCGTCTATAAATTTATTCCCCCATTCCCTCCTATCTTTTCAATTTCATTATGTCCAGTCAATTTAAGATTCAAGAAGATTCAGAGCCAAGGCTGCGAAAGACGTGATGATCCTGCACATTTGTTAGAAAATGAATAGTGCTAACGTGTGTCCACTCTCCAAGACATGGCCCTCACCATATTAACTGACATGTTCAAGAACTTCTGCAGGGGTATCATAAATTGCATTGGGGCAATCGTCAGCTCCAAGCTTGTCATGGAGATGCATAACATCAGCTTCTGGTTTCTAGGCTACTGTGGATGTTGGCACACTGATGATCAGAAGTAAATAAGAAACCTGAAACAATTTGGAAATTAGGATTCATAGTAAAAGTAACACCTCTATATTTTGAGGTCTCAAGAAATTGTAACATTGGAACAATTGCACGTGACTATAGATGAAAACATTGCTAGGCTAAACAAGAAATATGTAATCACACAAGACAAGGCAATGAGGTGAGTTCTTACTTGCCCTCTGAAGACGTGATTGTCTAAGAGATTTCTTAGCTTCATAAGCAGCAGCTCTTATTAAATTATTAAGGTCTGGCTGGCCACTACACGAAGTAGAGCCATAAAGGAAACCACCTGCCGAGAAGCAGTAGCAGACTCAACTTCAATGCCAAACTCTTTCTTCAGCTGTACAGTATTAGAACGTAGACAGACAAATATACAAAGATCACCAACAAAATAAAAGAAAACAAAAAAAGCTCTATATCTCATCCTTCAAAGGAAGCAAATAACAGCAAGGTTTAAAAGAGCCATATTTAATTGCAGAAACTAAGAATTCCAGATGCAAACATGTAGTGGGCCCTTTAGAGAGATAAACTCTGATCGTTTCTGCAGTAAAATGCGTGCGAGGGCTGAACCACATTCCTAAACAAGGGAGAGAACAATAATCTTATGAAATCAGTTAGTTTGCAACAGCCATATTATACGTAGGAACCTACGTTTCTTCAAAAACTTAACCCCAAAAAAAAAAAAAAAAAAAAAAAAGGCCCTCATGCATTGCAGAAAAAATGCCCAGACATACGTGACCGCATCAATTGGAAACCTAACAATCAATTCTTTTTCCCCCCTCCCCAACTTGCTGGTTGTGATTGCAGGTAAAATCCATTAATTTCTTTTTTTTACCATAATTAATTCTGTTCCAGGCTATGATGCAAAGACTTTGAAGCACTAAATTAAAGCCTTAACCATGAAAAATAGTAAACCCACAGTGCAAAGTTCTACTTCGTTGTCTTAAATGAAGCCATGAAAAACTAAAAATAACTGAGGGTCAGAGTGCAAACATGCAGTGAAAACTGTTCTAGTTTTATCACACAGCTTTCCACACTTTGCTTCGGAGGCATGGGACTAGAACATGAGTACAGTATATATTATATGATATAACTCACAAGGACTATCAAATAATTCAATTCAGTAAAAACATTCCAGGTATAATTTGTCAAGTGAAGGTTTTTACTGATACTAACATGTACCATCATAAGAATGTTCTATGAGTTCAAAGAAAGGACAAAAAGGACAGGCATGCCCACCATACAAAATGCTTATATTTAGTTAGGCAAATCGAAGCAACATAAATCATGCTTCTAACCACTTGGTTCAGAATTAAAACATAAGCAGTTCAGGAAGGCTCATGAAACAGCTGTTAAATGAAGGTCAATGAATAATTTTATCATCTGGTATGCATATGACGATGAGAAATTGTGATTCAATAACTATCATCATAAGCAACAATAAAGATGCATACCATAAGGTCCAGTAGATGTCATTGTATAAATTCATGAGCCACAAAACAGAATTTTTGCTCCAACTGATTCTGGCAACCTGAAAGCAGTCATTTTGTATCTCTTTGATTTTTGGCCATGACTTGTCGATGCATGGGAAGGTATGGTAGAGGAACATAACCCTCTTTTCTGAGCTCCAGAAGAAGACAATTCAGAATCAAATAAATCTCAACAGATTGTGGGTGACTTCCATCTGCAGCAGAGAACATGTGGGTGATGCTGTTGACATCAATCCAACTGTACCCAGGGATCTTTTCAACTCCTTTTTCCTTCATTAAACTTCTTATCTTCAGAACATTTGTCCATTCCCCAGCACCAGCGTGTATATTTGAGAGCAACACATAATATCCTGAATTTTTGGGGTCTAATTCAAGAATATGTCTTGATGCTAGTTTGGCAAGCTCAACATTGCCATGTACGCGACAAGCTCCAAGAAGTGTTCCCCAAACACCCGCATCCGGAGCAAATGGCATGCTCTTTATAGTGTCAAAAGCCTCATGCAAATGACCTGCACGACCATATAAATCTACCATGCATGAATAATGCTCCATTTTAGCAGAAATTCCAAATTCCTCAGTCATGCGATGGAAGTAGCATCTGCCTTCATCAACTAGGCCAGCATGGCCACAAGCAGATATTATTATAAGAAAAGTAACATGGTCAGGACGAATTCCAATTTTCAACATCTCATGGAATAGATCAAGGCATTCTCGAGGATAACCATGGTTCGCATATGCAGTGATGATGCTATTCCATGAAACTTCATTCCTTTGATCCATTGAGTCAAACAAACACCGTGCCATGACTAATTTTCCACATTTAGAATACATGTCTATCAATGCACTCTCAACAAAAATGTCAGCATTGGATACAGTTCTAATTACGAAGCCATGTATTTCTTTCCCATTATAGAGTGAAGGTAAATTTGCACAAGAAGAAAGAGCAGTTGATAGGCTGACAGAATCATACTTAGTTCCACTCATTCCCATTTGACGGAAAAGTTCCATGGCCATTTCAGGTTTCCCATTCTGTGTGAAGCTTGCAATCATTGAGTTCCAACACACACTATCTCTCTCAGACAGTCTTCTGAAAAAATGATAAGCAAGATCCAGTCTTCCACATTTTGCATACATGTCTGTGATAGCAGATCCAACATGGCACACATTATCAAGTCCTTTTTTGAGTATATTACCATGTATTTCCTTCCCTAATTTCAAAACAGCCAAAGCAGCACAAGCTGGCAAAACGCTAGCCAGAGTCAGGCAATTAGGCATCATTTTCTGTTGAATTAAGCACCTGAACATGTTTATAGCATCCCTATTCAGCCCATTAAGAGCATAGCCTGATATCATAGCAGTGCAAATGACAAAATCAACATCATTGCTCTGCTGGAAAATCTTTTGCGCCGCATCCACATCTCCACTCTTGAAGTATATATCAATAAGAGCACACTTCAGATAAACATCGAAAAGCATACTGTGTCGCAATATATAACTGTGAACTTCCTTACCATATTTAAGACTCCTGGATTCAATGACAGAAGGAAGGAAACTTGACAAAGTGATTGCATCTGGTTTGACACCAGCAGAGATCATTTTATTAAACAATGGTAAAGCCTCCTTTGTAAATCCATTTTGTACATATCCGGCAATTAATCCATTCCAACTCACAGTATCAGTCCGTGGCATCACATTGAACAACTTATGTGCATCAGAAAGGTTTCCACATTTAGCATACATAGCAAGTAGCGTGTTGGCTACCTGGGAATCAAACTCAAAACCACTAACAATAACTAGACTATGAAGCTGACTGCCAAAGTAATGTATCCCTTTTGCGGCACATACAGACAAAATACAACTATATGTGACTGCATTGGGTTTATTATTGCAATTCCTCATTTCGTTAAAAGTTCCAATAGCATTGTTAGAATCTCCACTTTTAACATATCCATTGAGCAAGACATTCCACAAAATGCCATCTTTCTCAGGCATTTTATCAAATAAGCATTTTGCATCGTGAATATAACCATTTTCTGCATACAACTTGATTAATGAACTACCAACAAACAAATCCATATGATAGCCCATCGATTGAATAGTATTATGAATCACCTTGCCCAACCGAACATTATTTAAGCCACCACAAGCTTTAATGACATAAGGAAATGTATATTTATCAGGAGAAATTTTACTAGCCAACATCTTGAAGTAAAACAACAAGGCAAAATTGAACCAACCTATCATTGTAAGCCCTCTTATCATCCAATTCCAGGGAAGAGTATAGCACAGTTCAAGTCTGTAAAACATGTTTCTAGCATCCTTGATGCTACCACTAAGAGCATACATACCCAGCATCTTCACATTAAGACTATTACTCGTTATTCCACTGATAATCATCTGCGTATGAATCTGTCTACCTTGGCGAAGTACAGAAGTATCATAAGAAGTGCGCAGTACTAACACCAATTGGCTTGCAAGAATCTCTTCAGTATTTGATGACCAGCCAGCTTGTTTCAATATGACATTGCCACAAGTATTCTGTATGTCTGAAATTCGATTTTGAAACTGCAACGCCTGAGAAACCTTGTCATAAAATGAATACATTTTTCTAGAACAATTCTTTTCCACTTTGAGAATCACATCCTTATACATGCTTTGAGATGAAATCAAACTAATTTCCTTCCTCAGACACTGAATCACCAATAAGACAAAAGGAATAGAGCATCAGAACGGCTGGCGTATCTTACATTGGTACTCTTGGACAAGCATTCTTTATGTTCTATGTATAGAGAATAAGAACAGTTTGCAAGCAGTGTGCGTGCTCCAGTTGACATGCTAAGGCAATTTTTTCACCTAATCAAACAGGAGCTTGTTCTTCTTAGCAAGAAATTGATGTCTTTCCTCTTATTTTTCAGATTTGGTGAGCGTGTGTGAAAGTTAAAGTTATTGGCGGCTCAAGAATCTTGTTCAAAGGAATTGTCATTAAAAAGGAAAAGCAAGCCAGAAACATTATCCAACAATCATCAGAGCAAAGCCAAGAAAATCAGGATTGGTATGAATTCTCTCAATGCACATCAGATATTGAGGAGAGCCAACTCCATATCTATTTCCGTGAAGGAGTGAAATTGCTCTTTGAATTGCTATGGATATCCTCACAGTATCATCCTAACCGACTCTTGAACTAAATGGAGTAAAACCATCGCTGCCATATAAATACTTACTTCTAGGACTAGGACTAGGAGTAAGAAAAACCTCTTTAACAATGTCTCTTCCCCTGAAATTGAACCACGCCGCGATGGAATGGACAGCCCAGCGATGAAGAAAGCTGCAAACAATGACCTGCTACAGATTTCCGGCGAGGTCACGGCGAAATCTTGCGAAGAGGCGTGCGAAGTCCTCGTTCATGGCCCGTGTGCGCGATGAGTCCGCAAAGGTGCTTTGCCGGGCACGAAATGCTCAGCTGTAAAACGGTGCCGTTTGCCTCTTCCATCATTCGGAATTTCCCCTCCCCATGCGGCGTTTCCATCCCTCACCCCGCCCGTTCTCTCTTTTTTGTTTGGAAAAATAACACTAAGGTCCCAACACGAGGAAATATACTACAAAACAATCCCTTGAAATCTGATAATTAATCATAAGAATATCAAAAAAGATATTATTGCCCAATAGTGTAGAAGGAAAGGGCACTCATTGATTTTTACTCAAAACCTCTTCTAGACCTTGGAAGTTAAATCAAAACTTTTATCCAAGGATTGCACTATAGGGTGCAACCTCGGGGTCGTCTCACTTAAACAGAGCCTTAGCGAAATGGACCTAAATTAGCTTAAATTTCATGCAATGCAAACTTGAATATAAACAGAAGGTTTTGGTTTTTTCGAAATCATTGAGTGAATTGAATGAAAGGTAAACAAAATATATGTATATGTTTTTTTTGGATTTTAGGGAATAAGTGATGGATGCAGGTAGACAATAACCAAATGATGATGAAATTCCTCTTGAAAGTGTGCTCAGGATGTCATAGTTCAAAATCAATTGATATGGGAGTAGAATCACTAAGTTTTGAATTGATAAACCTCAAAGTACTCTTTAAGTCCAGAATTTTGATAAATGAACTCTATTTCTCAAGATCCTGTAAAGTGCTCTTAGTGTGTATAGAAAAATTGATTAATGCAACAGGTCAAATGCAATCAAAATCGTCTCAATATCAAAACACAATCGTGCAAGAGTAAAGAGAATCAAAAGATTACAACTGACATATATGAGACTTCACATATTTAAGCTCAAAGTTCTATAATAATCAATTCACTACACATATGAAAATCCAAGCTGATTACAACTATAATCAAGTAGTTCAATTACAAAATACAAATCCTAAACCTAGAAACTCATAAATTCATAGCTGAACTAGGATTAAACTACTCCCTTTCTTAGCTCATTGAACTCCAGCCATTGATACACCTTCAAGAGGAAGGAAAAATGCCTATCCACTCATAGAAATCTGAAGCATCTCAACTAAGAATGAATCTGAGCTTCCCATGATGGAGGTTTGACAGTGAAAAATGGAAGAAATTATGGTTAGATGAGAGAAAGATGAGAGAGAACGAAGATGGGGGCTGTAGTCTGAGTGAATGATGTCACTTACATGAAAATAGGGTTTCTAAACCAGTAATGTCTAAACCAGTAATGAGGTGTATTGGGTCAATTTATGAGAGTGGGTAGGTAAAATTTTCGAAAATGGTTCGAGTTTGGGTTGCTGATTCAAGGGGTTCGCTGCGGCGAACCTTGGCCAAGAGAACTTCTGTTGATGTAGTTTCTTTCGCAGCGGCGAAGACAAAGTTGGCCGCGGCGAAACCTGGCAGAGGCGTCAATTCGTCTTGTGTGCTGGACTTCCTTGATCTTCACTCTTAGCTCTTCTTCTTGAGTGTCCTGAGGTATCGATTGTCCCAGAAATTAATTAAATCCAATTAATGAACAAATATGACAATTTTACCCTCAAATAACACTAATTCAGAACAAAGACTCTTAATCTCAATTAAGCGCAAATATCATTAAAATGAGTCAAAAAGTGTAACAAAAATATGGAAAAAGCCATCAATTAGTATAAACATTTTGAGCTCGATCAAATTCCCCCACACTTAGACCTTTGTACTCCTGGATAAAGCTAAAAAAAAATTATTCAAAAAGATACAAGTGCAATGAGAAATACTAACATGCTTAAAGATGGTAGTAGAAGATTAGCAAGAAATTCCCACGAAGATTGACAATGGTAAAGTAAAGACATGCTAAGAAAGTAAACACTATGGACGTTTAATCCAAAAGATTGAGCAAAAGAGATTTATCTCAGAGGTATGTGTTTAGTGTCACACCTTACTATAATATTGATTTAGGTTCCTTTTCAAAATCATTTTTGACCACATTAGATGGTCTTGGGCTCACTTTTTACCATAAAAACGCTAATTTTCGGATTTTCACTGTTCATCGGGTAAAAATCCAGTTTTTCTGGCCCAACTTCAAAAATTCATAACTTATTCTACAAAAATCCAATTGGGGTGATTCAAAATTCTAATTAAAGCTCTTTAAGTCCTCTTTCAAGGAAAAATAATCTCATTGTCCAATTATTTATGAGAAAGCGTCAGGTTTTTAAGAAAACAACACTGTCCATTTGCCAAAAACCCTGATGTCCAGATTCTGACCATTAACTTTCAAAAATCATTATAAATTGTATACTGGGCCATTTTTAACGTATTAGCTATCAATTTGAAGCTCAGGATGTCATCTTTCATCATGCCAAATTTCACGATTTAACGCATTTGGGAACATAATCAAAAAGTCACGTGAATCGGTCAGGGTCAGTGTGCTTCCAGCACTGTTAGTTTAATATTTACATAACCAAAATAAGCTCACGAATTTTGTGGCTAAACTCCACAATTCAACCTTCAATCTGCAGCTTCCCTTTTGAAGATTCAGGCCCTAAAATGTTACATGATTCTTGGGGGATGAGATTTTTGGAAATCCCAGTAGTAAATTAACCAACTATATCACCAAGCAAGCATCATTATTATGCATGATCACATTAGCTACTATGGATGAACTAACATGCTTATCATTTGGCAAACTCAATCATGCAAAGGCCAAAGCAAGATACTATAAAGAGCAGCCACATAACAATCAAGAGAGCTCAATCACAATAATAGCAATTAACCATACAATAATCAACAATGCTAGTTAGTGGTAGTAGCTAGGTTTAACTTACTACCTTGCTTCAAAAGTCTTAGCCTTTCTTCCTTCTCCTCTTTCCCTTGGCAAATATCAAACCCTAACCATGTGATTCAACAAAAATGGCAGCAAGAATCATTATCCAACCATGAAAAAGCAAGAACATACATCAAAATGATTCTTGAACCATAAAGTTCCCTCCTTTGTTCACTAGTTTTAGATTTGGTTCTCTTTAACCCTAAAAATCACTCCTTGACTTGTTCCTACATGGATTTTCATGTAGATTCCAAAAATAGGCTTAGATTTGTGAAAATAAAACTGATTCTTCCAGCCACAAACCGACCAAACCACTAGAGGTTTTGACCCAAAATTTTCAGCTTTGCTTTTAGGCTTCCAACACTTGTTTCTTTTAGTCTACCCTACACCATTCCTCATTTTAAGCATCATGGAAGCCTTAAAACAATGAAAAGCTCATCCTAGGGTCAGTTCTTCACTTGGCCGAAAATAACTCTCACAACAACAACCATGAAAAATGCTTTAAAATCACTTAAACTCACTTGCCAACACTAGGATCTAGCTTGTGTTGTTGTGTCTTAGCAAGTGTTATGATCAAAACTTCTTTCCCCTTTTTATTAATCAGTTTGGTCCACATTAAGAGAGGGAAGAGACAGATTTTAAACCATAAAAATGAAAGAAACCAAAGCAAGAACACTTCTAGGACCAAGATCTAACCTTGAAACCTTGCTAGGATGATCAAAAGTGCTCCCTTTCTCCTTGTTTCCTCTCAAACTCTCTCTTTTTCTCTATTTTTCTCCCTTGCACGAAATGAACATCTGAAAATGGGGAGAGAAGAGCTTGATTAAGGCTTCAAAATATCCCAACCACCTTCTTTAATGATAGTCCAAGTGTCATTACCCTACTAAGTCTTGATTCCTCTCTCTTAATTAACATAATTCCAAATGAAATTATTTACTAAAGTCAAAATCCTCTCCATTCATGGAATGACACTTGGCTAATTCAAATCTTCTCCTTCAAGAGCTTGACACATGGCTCAATAGGATCCCTTGGATTTGCAAGACACCAATCTTGCTTTATCGGTATACTTTAGGCTCTGAGTTTAACTTCTTTTTTATAATTACAGTAACTTAGTCTCTGTAATTATTTTCTATCAGATCCTTAATTTATTCTCCTCATTATTTTCTTCCCAAATTGTCCTCTTTGTCTCAAAATTAATTTCCTAATATTTAAATAAAAAGGAAAATTAATTTCCTTCTCTTTAGGGATTTTTCCACTTTTCACATTTATTTGGAAAAATCTTGGACACTTGAGGGTTTCCATTTAATTCCATAATTCCTTATAATTCCTTGGGATCTCATAGGAATTTTCTTGGAATTTTATTCCTCTTAAAATATTTATGTGGAATTTTCCAAATAAAATCCCTCAATTAGCCTAAATCACCCTTAAATTCTCTTATAATTTCTCTAAGGGTAATTTGGTCATAAAACCAACTTTATAATTTCATATAACTCTCAAAGGATATTATCCCTATTTTTCCTTAATTTTCCATGGCTCGAAAATATTTTTCCTTATTTACATTTGACCAATTTTCTTTAATTAGTCAATTTCCTATAATTGGCTTGGAAAATTACTGTAATTATTTTCCACCAAAATTCTTTGACTTTTCCTTATTACTTTTAATCCTCAATAATTTGAGAATATTTCTTGTCTCCAATTATCATAATACTGGATGTGACATTTCTCCCCCCTAAATAAATTTCGTCCTCGAAATTTAAAGCATACCTTAATGGAAAAGCTCTGGGTACTTTTCCTTCATCTCAGCTTCCATCTCCCATGTGGCTTCTTCCGAGGAAAGACCCTTCCAAACCACTTTAACCAAGGGAATCTGCTTGTTCCTCAGCTGCTTGGTCTTCTGATCAATGATTCGTTCCGGTCTAACCTCAAAAGATAGATTATCCCGAAGCGCAATGTCATCATAACTTATGACATGTGTGGGATCTGGATGGTACTTCTTCAGTTGGGAGACATGGAAAACATCATGAATCTGGCTTAACTTTGGGGGAAGAGCCAACTTGTAGGCCACTGGTCCAGCTTTAGATAAAATCTGGAATGGTCCAACATACT